ACATTGCATAGCTCAGTATTGATTTTTATACAGTTACAAAGTTACCATCACATTTCAAAGCTTTAAACTTGAAGATCATTTCGGTCACCATCGAGGCATATAGTGAGGCCCTCCATCCACTCCGGTCCACGGCCAGGCCAGACGTCGTGAGACCCGTGGACCGGACGGGACACGGCGCCCGACACGGCGCCCGGGACGGGCGAAAAGATGGAGATCCTCAGAGTCCTCGGAGCGGAAGGTGCTGGAAGAGCTCGGAAGGGTCATGGGTACTCGTAATATAGACTCAAGGTAGGATTGTCTTGTTCGCGGAAAGAATCCAGATACTTCGCGGGAAGAATCCAGATACTTGGAGACTTGCATACATTATTGATATATCGATAGATAATCTATATTAAATATTGCTGTGTATAGGCTATGGAACTCTGCAGTTGTTGGTGCAAAATCCTACAACCCACCGGACCCACCGCAGATCATTTCGGCACTTTGCCCCATCTTTCGGGGCCGCGGCCCTGCACGGTCCGCCCGGGCCACCTGAGCACCGATCAGCGGTCCGAGCACCACGGGGGCTCAATGGAAGGAGCGAGGCGTGGATGGCATTGGACGGATGGTCCCGTGCTGGTCACGGATGGCGAAATAGATGTATAGCATTGTATAGCAGCATAGCATTGAAAAAACCCTATAGTAGCCGCTGGTTATTATTTCGGAGTGCATGTTGTTTTTTTGTGCGCGATTCTTTTTTTGGGCGGTTTGCGCTACCGCTGGAGCAATGGTCTTTGAGGAGAGAGGAGATAACTATACTTGTGAAGTTGTGAAGTTGTTGATGATCCGTGTGTATCCGTTTCACTTCTGGCGTTCGATTGGTCCTTTCACCTTGGCTGCGCCACAGATGATGAAGCGCAAGAGCCGTACAGATGCTGGATATGCAGAAGCGGAGGCCCTCACTCTGTCTGGGGGCAGAGGCACAGACATGGGAACAACTCATGTGAGTAGGGTTTGGTTTCCAATCATGGTACAGTAATATAGATTTGAATATCTTTGAATAGTACGAAAAGGCAGAATCTTTTGCATTTCTTACTACTCAAGTCTATTGAATATTCTGAAAAAAAGGTCCTCAAGGCCAGACACCGAACTTTAAGACCACAGGTTGGGCCACGGATTCAGAGTTGGGTCCTTGTTCATCCATTCTTTCCTTTTTCACTGCGACGTGTTGGGATCAATGGTCGATTGTTTGCATCACGGTACGCGCAGGAATCAGGAACTTTCATGATGTTCCTTTTCCTGAGACCCTCGCAGGTCACTCCGCTATCAATATTAGGTTCATTATATCGTTCCATCAGTTTGTTAACACAGATACGTCCTTGGTAGATCCCCGAGGCCATGTTGTTTGCCTCTCAACTGGCACATGCGTTTTCGTCCACCCATCATGTGGGGAGTACAACTCCCCCAAAACGAGCTTTGCTCGTAAAGTAGTTCTCCGTGAAAACGAACAACATCATCTAGACGCATATTATATGTCAACCTGCTCAGCTCAGAGATTTTTGACCCCCCACCATAGCCATACCAATAGCCCGGTGTGCAGTAGATCCAGCTGTTGGGACTAAAAAACTAAAACTGGTGCTTCAGCCGGCCACCCTCCAGTGTTGGTAGTTAGGAGTGAAGTATGTAGAGTCATGCATTTTTTGGGGCAATGGCTAAACAGTTCAGGATCTATCATGTTCCAGCAAATGAGGTTACATGAGGTTTCCTGATCTTCGTAGCTGCTGAGCCATCCTGATGCATCCTGAGCTCATTGTCATTACAACAGACCAGTGGGGATACCAACACATATGAAGTGCTTGGTGCTAATGGTGCTGGGGCTGATATGGACATCCACATATCTCCACATCTATTTCACAGACCATCACAGACCCCACCCCCCACAAAAAAAGATCACATCGACCTATCTCCAAACAGTGATGAATGATGATGAACGTGTTGTTTTTTGTAGAATTATATCATATATCATTTAATAGAATAGAATTACATCATATGATTCATTGTCATTAAATCATCATCATTATTCATATCATATAGAATTATATCCTTCATATCTCCCCCCCAAAGAATCACCTCCCCATCCACCGATGGGTCCAAGAACGATGTTACCTGACCCCGCAGGCCACGGAGTCGAGGAGGTGCCCAGCAGCCGTGCGGATGGGGTGTCGCCGAAGCGGGTTGGTTTCGACACCGGTGGAGGAGTGGTAGAAGGCCAAGATGCAAATGGAAGATGATAAACAGCAAGACGATACAAGACGGTATATAGTATGTGTTCTTGGATTGTTTTTATTTGTTGTTTTTTTTCAGAACAAAAAGCAAGAGACAGTCTTGATGCTTCAGAAAAGTCAGCGATTGTTTCTTCAATCACTGGTGACTTGTTTTTGAAGCTTGTACTGTTTTTAGGTACAAAACCGACCTACCTGAACTGAAATTGATTGCTTGAACCCAGCAGTGTTCTTCTTGTCACAAATGCCTGTCTTGAGGGCAGAAGACCGGAAAGATGTTGTTCCTCTAGTAGAAATATAGAAACTTGCGCATATAGGATGATCCAGGATGAACAGATAAGGCATGATAAGACCTTTTGAATTCTTGCTTAATTGCTGTAGTCCAGAGGACTATGCCCGTCTGATTTTGCAGGATTGTTCAAGAACAACAAAGCCTCCTGCGGCTCACCACGGAGGGTCCCAGCAACATTGACAGCAAGGCAGCTCCGGCGATCGTTGTGTTCTCGTTGCTTGTCTCAAGATGCAACTTGCTCCCTCAACGAATCAGATCCAATTCAGGTATTTCCTTATTTTTTTCAGTTAGATGTGCGACGATCTGAAAAGCCAGACAAAGAAAGAAAGAAAGAAACAAACAACTAATACCCAAACACTTCTCAGAGTTCCATGCCATGGCAGCATGCTGCAGTCATTTTGGTTGCGAGCTGCTTCGGTGCATCGTGTGACCGCCATCGACCGCTACAGGACTTCTGTGGCGCCTTTGCTGCGCTGGGCCTGGACAACTCCTGGGACCGACCGACGGCGCTCGGGTTGCTGCGCTGAGCTAATGATAGATAAGGATCGAAGAACTCCTTGGTTTTTGCTTAAGGTGTATAATATAATATAACATAATTTTGCCTGTTTTAATACACATTTGGGGGAATCAGTGTTTGATTTTGTCCTGTTTTTTCCTGGACAGCAAATCCATGGAACCCCCCAATGGTGTTTGTCCTCCGGGATACCTGTGATCTGCACGTCGCGGACACGTCGAATTCGTCGAACCCGTCCATGGTGGTTGACCATCAGCCCAAGCATCCTGCCATGCCCGAGTTTTTGCCGGCCTTTCAACTTTTCCAGCCTCAGTTGAAGGACTCGAAGGCCTTCAAGAAAGACTTTAAGATTGACATCAAGACCTTAACTGATGAGCACGTTGTGCCGGAGCCTTAATCGCCCATTGTTGTGCGCGGCCTCGAGTTGACTTTTTGCTTGACATGCAGCCTTGGTCTTGCTATAGTGGGTACGGTTCTTCAATTGAAGCCAGTTGATGCCAGTTGATGCCATTTGATGCCATTTGTACATGACTTGATATCCATTGTCGATTCTCTTTTGAGGTTCGACATGATCGGCATAGACCCTCCCTTGGTGAATGCTTTCAGGCGGGGTTGCATGGGTCCAGGCCTCATGCACAGCCAAAAAGTGCTCGGCCAAAACTCCAAGTTTGGCTGGCACAGTGTTTGATCTTGTAAATGTCAACCGCAGGTTCACTTGCTTACGGACGTGACGAAAGTGTAGGAACCAATTGCTCATTCCAACAGTCTTCAGCACGTGGACAGACCTATCAGAATGGTCAGAGTAAGTTTGAGTCAACAGAGCCTCAAAGCCTTCGGATTGCGTAATAATTAGTTGGACGAGATTCTTGAGTACTTCACAGACAGATCAGTTTGGTGAGAATCCGAAACGCATGAGATTATCCTTGAACAAATGCATGAGATGCCAAGACCAAGATGTCACGAAAGGTAGCGGTTACGCTACCTGAGTTTTCCTTTTGCTTTAGCAAAAATGTATTAACTCAGAGCTGCCGCCCTTTCCTCCGAGGAATGGCCCCCCACCTTCTTCGGTTGCGGGGGGGGGGGGGGGCCCCCCCCCCCCCTTTCAACTCCACCCTAGCGCGCCTCGGGGTCAACCGTTCGAAAACACTGTAAATATCAGTGTTTTCAGCTCTTCCAGTCCTCAGCAGTGACCAAAAATCATGGAATTTACAGCGTTTTTTGTGGCTGTCCGGCAAAAAACACCGCAAAAACCGATGGTTTTTGATGCGTCTCGGTTAGAAAAATGACCGAAAAAAGACCAAAAACCAGGAAAGATTTTGTCAGAAAGGGTTTTTGAGGCTTTTGGAGGCATCAAAATTGCACAAAACTATGGTATTTACAGGGTTTTGTGCACCTTCCCGGCAGAAAACGCCGGTATTTACACGGTTTTCTGCGCTTTTCCAGCGCTCAACCGTGGTGCGCCTTTGGATCGACGGCTACAAAATACCGTAAATACCAGTGTTTTCAGCTCCTCCTGTCTTCAAGCGTGGCCTTAGACCTTGCCGCGGCTGTGGATCGACGGCAACGAAACCTCGTAAATACCAGTGTTTTTGAGCACGTCCTGTTTGCAAGCATGGCCTGCGGCCACGCAATTTACAGGGTCGCCGCACGTCACTATGTAAATCCGAAGTTGCATTTGAGAAATACGTGACTCCTTTTGAAGGCACGTCAACCTGTATTGAAACCGCTAGACCGCTACAGCTTCTGGAGGTTTTGTCAAGCGTTTGCGCACTAGTCTTTCTTTCGTCACGCTCACTCACTTCTCTTCAAACAAGTGGGGGGCCTCTCACCTCCTCCCGGATTACGCCTGATTCCCTGCTACCTTTCGTTCACCCCCCTCCTCTCTCAAGTTGTCTACATGGCCAGCATGTCTTTTTTTAGTCACATACAATATGTTTGTTCTTCCTTTTGCTGTGCCTATAGCGTTATCTTTTCAGGTTTGACCCATCGAACACCTACTTTGTTTGGAGATCAACCATGCGTCCAGCGTTCTCAGGCGGGTCCTCATCGCGGAGGTCCCCACTGTGCAAAGCTGAGGAAGTTGGCAAGGGTTGCGGAGAAAACTTTGTTTTTTGGGATGGAGAAGCAGCAGCAGAAGAATCCGAAGAATCAGCTTTGAGCGGTGTAAAAGCACATACAGTATCTAACATAAATTATGATCACTATTTACAGATCTTGGCAGATTTGCTTCTGAAAATGTTTGCACTTGTTCAGCCCAACAGCCCATTGCCAGCCGTCTATCTACTTGCGCAGCGGTCCGCCGCTCTGCTCGCCCAGGTGGCCATCAGCCGCGTGACGATCCACCAGAACACTTCGGTGATCCACGACGAGAACTTCGCTCACAGGCGACGGTAGCGGTGGAAGCGGCGGAAGGCGTCCTTGCTTCGGTGGGTTGCAGTGAGAGGTGCAGCACCTCCCTGAAGAGCAGAGAGTTTTGGAGATCAAAGATGGTAATAGCTGCACAACATGTCATGCTTGAGAGACTCGAGTAATATGTGCGAGACATCCCACACATTCCCGCACTAGGCTGCCAATATAGTGAGACTTCTGCCAGTCAGGGTCACTTTTTACTTCCAAGGCCTTCCGTCCTGCTTTTGTCCTCTTGAGGGCCGACCTCTGCCAGAATCCGCGGTTTTGCTTTTCATGCGCAGGTTGGGCTTGGTGCCAATCAAGTTTGAGCCGGATTTGCTCGAGCACGGGCCTCAATTCGATGGAGCAATGCAGCTCAGAGGAGGATGAAAGCTTGGAACCAAGACACGTTTGTTGAGGAAAGACAGTTGGGAATGGAAGTGTTGAGAGTCAGAGACAGCCAGGAGTTTCAAAGGAAGAGTTTTTACATGAGTGAATTTGGGGCACCCCTCTACTCCATGAAGCCTCTCTTTGGAATTGCTGGAGCATACTTGTTCACTCAGTTCACTCTTTCCATATTTTGCGCAGTAAAAGACCCTGCAGGTACTATACTGTAGCAGCCCGTCTTACGTGCGCCCACACATCCAAGGAGCAGACATGAGGAGGCAGATTTCACCGACCAGGAGACTGTGACAACAAGTCGAGCGCCACGAGTTGGGGCGTCAAAGCCTTGGCCAAACATCCGGAAAGTTGGGCTCCAAGTGACTTCGTGTTCGGCGGGATTCGGCCGGGAGGTTTTGGAGAGACTTTTGAAGGGTCCAAGGACTGTCTCTGAGTCTACCTTGGAAAGCCCGAGGTACTTGGAGCCTGAGTTTGGGAATTCTTGCTTAGGCAGCCATTGGGCAACATCCGATTCGCTTCGTTTCTTCGGATTCGCTCAACCGCTTCTTCGTTGAGGGAAAAGAATAACCCTCCAGCAGTGGCGAGTGTAAAGGTTCTGGACATGATGTGTTATCATCCTCATTCTCCTCATTCTCTTCATTCTCGTCATGCAAACTGCATCAACATGCTATCACCAAACTTTTTTGTTGTCTGCTTGCACTGCCTCTCCTCTCCTTCAGAGCCGTCCATTCGCTCGCACTGGGAATGAAGTTGATGCTTTTTTTTTCCGCGTCTTGAAGGCCCTGTGAAGACCAAACGTTTTTTCCAGTGATGTCTGTCCAGCCAGACATCCCTCTCATGTCCAGTCTTGAAGGCCCTGTCAGGGTCAGTGATGTTTGAACTGGATTTGTTCTGCTCATCGGCGTCAAATCACCACGTTGATTGAGTGGTCCGTCCAAGAACACGCCCGGTACCAGGGTTTTGGGCACCAATGCTCACCCTCAGTTTCCCGGAGCAATGGAATATGTGAAGCTGAAGAGCTGTGTGGGTTGGATGAAGCTAAATCTTTCTGTAGCCACAATACTAGCTATATGTGTTTGACCTACAAAAGCAGAATAATGAGCTGAACATATTATACCCGACCTGCTTGCAAATGCCTGCATGGTTGTTTTTCGGTCCGGACTCATCATCATTCTGGACAGGACAGCGTGCTCTTCAAGCTTCACGCCAAATGCCCTCAAGGACCTGGGTTTGGGGCTGTAAGGTTCAGCTACTAGAGCAAATGAAGCCACTGTATGCTGACAAAACACTACTTTGTTTATTGCTTTAACACTGATTATTTTAGAATCTTATAGAATCTTATAGACAACTTTGTTATACTTTGTTCAATTTCTGCGTATTCACTAGGGCACTAGACTTTTGACATGACTCTTGTATTTTATCGTTTTCTTTGTTCTCACATCCTCATAGGACAGAAGCAACTCTCGGTCTATTCCAGAGATTTGCGCCAGCTCCTCAGTCAGTTTGCGGACGTCTTCGTTCTGCGCGTAGTAAACCTTCTTCAGGGCTGGGTGAAGGTTTGCCAAACCTGCTTTTCTATAGATCAGATAGATCTGTGGCACATGCGACACAATCGATTGAGGGTCACAATCAGTAGCACAATCAGTAGATCAATACCATTCAATACCTTCTCCCTATGTGCCAAGGTCAACATAGATTGATTCACAGTTGGCACAGCAGGTCAATTTGCATGTCAGGATGCCTCATGCGCTCGGCGACGCTCCGCGACTCATGGGCTCCGTTTAGCCAATGACAAGGTCTTCCACGAAACCCTTGGAATTGACCCAAACAGCTTCAATCTTCCTAGTTTTGCTGAAGGGATTCTCTTAATGATCAATCATCCAAGTCTTGGGTGCAGTCTGTCAATGACTTGAGACTTCTGATGCTCTGTAAGATTGTTGAATACCACGAAAGGGTGACCAGTCAACACGAATCCCTGCAACAAGCTACAAGAAGAAACTGTGGTGCTGATTTCTGAAGATGGTTTCCCCCATAGTGACGAGAGGAATACATCATTTTTACCAAGAAGCAGCTTGGGGACCTGGCAGAGTGTTGTTTTTTGTTCAACCAAAATGCATAGCAACGCTGTGGCTCACCAGGATACCTTGGTTGACCTGGCATCCGTCATTCAATACATGGACTGGTCGGGCTCCAGATTGTGACCCATCCCCAATAATTCAAGGGACAGCCAATGCCGCTGCAATGCCTCTTCTTCGGTACGTGGTTTTCTTCCACTCCCAAACTTCACCTCAACCACTCCACTTCCTTAGCCACATCGCTATTGTTTTCTTCGCTTCGAGACTCCAGTTTGCATGGAACTCATCTGGATGACGACGTTCAGATGCCACGAGCGCGCGACCGCGGTCGCGAGGATGGACGGAGCTTTCAGTGCATCAGCGGGAGCAGCTCAAGGAGTGCTGCCATATAAAAGAGTCCCCAAAAGAGAAGCATGCCATCAAAGGAGCTATAGCTGCGAATCAAGGATAACATGCAAGCATGAATCATCTGCAATTAGCTGGAATTCTTGCACAGCATCCCGGAAGTTCTCTGGAAGATACCGGTGCATGCTAACTCATCACGATCCCAAAATCAACTCTGAACAAATATAGAAACATGTTCTGAACAAAACGGGATGATCATCCATCCCATTCCCTCCCCAATGTCGGGCAGACTCTCCCAAAGTCCAACATCATTTAATAGTTTCATCAAGGATATCAAGACATCCATGAAGGACAAACAAAACCAAACAATCACCAGAAACGAACCGCCCTCATCGCCGGGAACCCCGAAAAGCCCATCTTCGACCTCAGGAGGCGCCTCCGGCACCGGTGGATGGCGACATCTTGCTGGCACAACTGGCACCAGGTGGAGGGCGCAGCGCGTGACCGGTGGAACGGGTGGGTCCCGTCCCATGTGGAGTGACCCTAGGTAGACCATCCATGTATGGAATATGGAATAGTTGGCTACATTGGGGCCATAAATGAGGTACGGTAAATATGTATTATAACTAATCCATACATGGATGGTTTGGTCAGGAGTTGATTTTCATGCGTGTTGAAAGGCCGAATTAGTATGTTGAAGGAGGTTGGTTCAGGAAGTGGTTCAGGATTTGCATGGATTTGCTGGATTCGGTGGCTGGTAGCTTGTTGGGCCGTTTTGGGGCATTGCACACTTCAGAAAGAATTTTGAGAAGCTGAGCTTGCTCACACACCAAGGAAGCCCATAATAGTTTCAAAGGTGGAAACCCATGCGAACCTTCTTATGTTTATGGAAGATGAAGCCTTTTTTGCCAGATGCGCATGTGTTGTCTTGAAATGAAAGAAGCCGCATTTCAAGGCTTTTGACATGTTCCGTTGGACCCCCTCTTGGATTGGCTTGCGCCTGGCAGGTCAAGAGATCGAGTGCGACTGCTACTGCCACCGGGCGCAAGACACTCCCGCAAACTGGATGGGCCACATGGGTTTTGGGAAAGAGGTGGCTTGGGGGAGCCAAAGGGTTCTGGGATTCCACAGGGAAAGCATGAATAATGCAGAACAAGGAGGCATAGCTGGATGCAGCTCATAGATCCATCTGACGAGCTGGCTCGCTTGACTTTAAAAGGGTCTCCTAGCTGTTTTCGAGAGAGACCGTGAGGGTGTGTTCTGGCACTGAGGTGAGAAAGGCATCGGCAAGGAGAACGGTTGCCAACGATTCTGGGAAAAGTCGAATGCTATATGACTGCCCTTAGGGGATTTCTGTTTTTTGTTCCTGAAGGGAGTCATGACACCTCTCATCTTCACAAAACTCCCCTCTCAGCTGGCTTTTCACTCATGTGGAGCTGTATGGTGTGTGGATTCTTCTTGATTTCTTTCAATCTTCAACACTTTCAATCCTCAAACATGTTTTTTCCCTCCTCGTGCTGTGGTGTTCCATTTCTAGTCAAAGCGGCACGATGACGCACGGACGCACGGACGCAGCTGCTCAAGACGCTGCGTGCGGCGCGAGGACCATGCCAAGTGGTCGCCGGTTTGCACCGCCTTCTACAAGCTGCACCCGGTGATCCGCCGCGCGGTGGATGTGGTTGGCAGATGGTTCGATGTTTGCTTTGGGGTGGTTGGGGTGGTTGGAGTGGGGCGAGTTTGTTCTGAAGTGAAGTCAGACGATTGTTGCATGGTTCATTCATTCTTTGTGCAAGCTTTATAGACACTTTGGTAAAAGTGAGAAATAGATGGACACCAGTATGGACATCCCTAGAAAAAACGCAATGGTGCTTGCCGTACTACATGTCACATATGCAGAAATCTCTTCAAAACTGTCCATGTGGAGGTTCTTCCCAATGCCCCTGACTCAAGGCTTTGAGAAGGACATCGTTGGCAAAGATGCAGAAGATCTGAAGAGGCTGGATGCCAGCAGCAACAGCTTCAATTCTACGTAGCACCAGACATTGAAACGTAACCCTGCTATTAACTTAACGTGCATTTGACAGGGTTCTTTACATCCCCCTGCTGGATTTCATCCATCGAACGACTCATGATGGCGGCTTGACCAAAGCCGGCCATCGCCGGAACCGAGCCATTTCTGGGGCCCCGGAAGCCACCCTGTCTTTTGGGGGGTATCAGACTGTTTTGTTTGCACCTTGCCTTTGCAACCTTCCTTTTCCCATCCCCTCAGCTACAAAAATAGATTCTTGCCTTCCGTTGCACCCTCCGCTTTCGCCTTGCACTCCGCCTCGTGCGCCGCTCTAACTCCGCCGGGTGCCTCCCTCTCCACACATCTCCGACCACCACTCCAACTCGAGTTCATCCACCGCGTGAGGCTATACCATGCTATACCTGGATCTTCCAAGGATCTGTGCCGACTTTCATGCCGAAACTTCACCTCCACACCACTCCGGCCAGCTCCTTCGGGCCTCATCAAAACGCTGGAGACCCCGTCATGGAGACCCTCTCGGATCTCATCGCTACGACCTCCGATTGCAGCGCCGCGCCGGCCCTCTCGACAGCCCCATCGACACTGCCAGGTGTTGTCCCATGGAGGTCTTCGACGTGGAAGACGTCCCGCAGCTCGGGAAGCGCGCCGTGGTGCGGCCCGGGACACCCAGCGGGATTGGGGGGGTGGCGACTGGCGAATCGAGGTGTGGCCGTCGGCGTGGTGGGTGACTGTACGAATGGGGATTGCGGGTGGGTTGGAGGTCGAGAAGACGGTTCAAAAGTGGTTTGGACCGGACTGGATGTAGATGGGAGGGACTATGGGAGGGTTCTAGAATTTTCTAGAGTTCTAGATGGCCTCCAGATCTTCCGTTTCCATGCCTGTTGGTTTGGTGACGGGCATGTGCTTGAGGATGGTTGGGGTGGGGCCCCAGATTTCAAGCTGATATTGACCTCCCCGACATCAACTCATCGTAGTATTGCAAACATATTGTATACAAGCAAGAAGTGGAAACTCTCCGCTTCTTCTTGGCAATGTTCCAGTGACAGATTTGTGATCTCGAAGGCAATTTGGATATCGATAAGCTTCTCCCGCAAAATACTGGTGCTCGATAGGACTCTTCAAGACTACCCAAAGACTTAATGTATGGAATGATAGACAGCTAGATAGATCCATAATATATGGTAGATAGATAGAGAATACTGTAGATCTATTGATCTGATATAGAATGATACAGATATTCTTTACATCGCTGCGGTTCCAGGGGTAAATGGTGGTACATGGTGTGATTGGCAACTTAGTAGCAAGAACTCCCTTTTCAAAGGCTTTGTCAAGAGATGTTAAGAGATTGATTCCTGGTGTTTAGATTTTACATCAGATAGAAACTGAATACATTGAATAAGAATCTGCACGTATGTTTTGCATTGTTTTGCATGTTATCTAAAAAATAAGAGGAAAGCACACGAACTCCAGTCGATCATCAAACTGTTGAGTTGACCATGCAGCGGTGGAATAAACGCTTCTCCACAACGGTTGACCAAACACGTCAGCAGTTGCCCGGTTCGATGCCGTTCAGCTGCTGATCCATTCGAGCAACCGTTGTGGAGAAAAGTTTGTCCCCACGTGTTGTGTTTGTGGGCTTCGGCTTCAACATCTTCTCAGCTGAGTTTCTTCCGAGCCGAAGAATGGGAAGGAAACCCAACACACAGCATTTAAATTTCATTGTACCAATACACGACTTGATAGACATGAAGACGAAGCTGTGTTCCCTGATCTTGTAGGAACGCGCGGAACTGCACTACGTGCCGCGAGTGCTTGGAGACGTTCCCGGGACAGGCTGGAGAGCTTGCACTTCGCAGATGGCCTTGTTGATCGTTTTGTTGTGCTTGTACTTGTGTGCTTGAGGGTGAGGTTGTTGAAGCTGAACGGGTGGAATTCAGCTTCAAGCAGTTTTTGGGTTTTCTCTCACCACAATCTCGCTACCCGCCAGGAGAAAGGGCTCTTCCTTGGGAAAGCCAAGAATCACTTCATCTTTTCCATCGAAAGCGTCGGGCAGATCCCGGTCACTTGCTTTGTGGAATTGGGGTCGCGGTGGGCATGATCCTGTTTGTTGTTTGATCCTCTCTGTGAGGGTGATGCTATGAAAATTAACCTGTTAGTCTTTAAATATTGTATTTCAGGGTGAGTTCTTGCAAGGTGATAAGACACTAAGCAAAAATGCAAACAGCAGTTGATCTTGATAAATAGTTGAAGATGGTGATTGTGAAGGTTGTTGTGCATTGTGAGCTGAAATCTGTGAACCATACTGCCCACAGGACGACAAGGACCTGCTACAGAGATGAACCGTGTTGCCACCCTGTCATGTGTGCGGCCATATTGTTGTTTTTGTTTCTCGAAAATCTGGATCATATCCGGAGACCTGCTCATCCACACATGGGAAGACTGCAGTTTTTTGGCATGTTATGTCCCAACACCATTTAAGGTGAACAGCCTCGACCTGCCCCGCTTCAGCTTTGTGCCAGATCGCCGCTCCTGGTGTGACCCAATTCAAACGACCCAGGCACCAGAGCTCTTTGAGCGAGCCTTGATCAAGTTCAAGGCGCACCTGGCGCATGACCGGGATGTCCCGATGACGGACCAGGGCAGATGAACTCAGTTGTTTCTTTTCAAACACAGATTACATCACATGATTTCAGTGTTACATTACTGTAAGTTTGTTTACATATATCACGTGTTGTTTTTTAATAACAGAACCTTGGTCATCTTGGATGTTGTTCCTTCCATCTACCCATCAAAGTTTTCCAGGAGAATCTACGTTGTAAAAGGCAGAACACAATGTCATTGTTTGCCGTGGTTGTTCAGTTTTGGGCATCTGCGAGGTTTGTCCTCCCATGGCCAAAAACACTTAACTGGTGTCTTTGCCAACATATCTCCATCATCTATGACCCATCGACCCGCCTTTCCTCATCTAACCAAGCAGGACAAAAAGACAAACTAGAAACACATATAAAAAAGCTGTTTTGACATGTTCCACCATATGTTCCACGCACCCCTCTCTTTCTGACCCAACGAAGCCTCCGCCTACTCATCGCCGACGCGGCCCGGCGGATCAGCCCAGCGGCGCCAGGAGAAGTGTCAAACGGCCAAGGAAAACGTGTCGCACCGGAGAGGCGCGCAGCAAAGCGGTCACCAGTGATGCGTTCGTGTCGCATGTTGCACATTGTTGCACGGTCCAAGCCGGGGTTGCGAGGTGGTTTCCTTGGGGGGCAAATGGTTTCATTCGTGTTGTTCTTGTTTCTTTTTGCGTGGTGTCCATTGTTTTCTTGCTGATATCCTTGTTGGACATTATTTTGTTTCTTTAAGGACATGTGGGTTCAACATGTTTGCTCTCATATGGTAGCCTTTGTTTTGAAACTCTAGTAAAGCCAAAACAAGGAAGTTGTGTCACTTGTTTTTGTTTTGATGTTGGCCACCAGTTCCAAGGAAGTAGTCAGCTAGCTACATGATGAAGGGCTTGTGTGTAGGTGCGGGTTTGACTGCTTCATTGGGGACAAGGAGATTCCCAACCCCCTTCAGGAGCATCCAGCTTTCGGTGACTGAGACCTGCGTCAGGTGCTTTTGGGGTAATAGTCACATCTTCCTTTTGATCCCTGTCCGGAACACCGATCCTCCAGCTGCTTCGGCCAGCCGTCCCCGCCTGTCACGCAGGAGCAGCGACAAAGTGAGACCTGCGCAGAGTGCGACGGAGAAAGCGACGTTAGAGTGCGTCCTTTTGGACCAAAAGTGCGAAGGGTGCTGTGATGCCAAGGGTCCTGGGTACTGCCCGAGGTGGAGAGACCTTATGGGATTCCATATGGGGACGTATCAGATGGGCTAAGAAGGCTGTTCAACCTTTGTAGGTGCTCAGAGTGGTGCTCAGAATCCATGCGCATGCGAATGCTGCTTGAGGCAAACATGACATGCGAACGGCTCTTAGCATTCTTCTGGCTTGAACGGCTCGTGAAGCTTGAAGACGTGAAAGCTTTCGCAAGTGGTCGCAGCGAAGTCGAGAATATGCTGGGAAGTTTCTACACTGTAGCCGAGACCTCACGATCCAATGTCTTTGCGAATGCAGTCGATCAAGGTTTGGCACACTCCACACTGGAAAAGGACATCGCTGAATTACGTCACTACGCCCGTGCGGGTTGTTTGGAGCTTGGATGCAATCATTCCACTAAACCCTGACAGTATAGTTAACGTCATACAATAGGTCGGTCATCCAGTACGTAGGTTGGTTCACCTCCTGCAAGCTCACCGGACAGGCTGGACCTTGGAGCCACGTTGGCTGAAAATCCCACCACCCATGACCTATGGCATCTTGCAAACATTCCTTCGAACGGTTTCGCCTTCGAGACGCCCACGCCCGGCGTGAGTGAGCCCATGCCATGTGGGCGATGCGGTGGAGGGTCCCCTGGAGGCTTGGCCGGTCATTTCTGTTGAGAGATCTGCAACCTGTTGAGGTCCACGATGTGTCTAGCCCTGATGAACAGATTGACACCCTCTCCACAAATCCTAACAAGTCATTTCAACCTGGTCCTTTGCCTCCTTGATGGAGCAAAATGAGGTGCAACTATAACCTGTGCCTCCTTAGTCACAGTAGGCCACTAGTGATGTCCACGACGTTGACACCTCATCACCAGCTTTGACCCCATGGACACCTCATCACCTGTACCACCACAGCATCGATGTCCGCACATCGACGTTGCACAGCGAAGGGACGTCATATGTCTCCAAGGTGATGCCCCAAAAAAGACTCACCCATCTCTCTTCGTGGTTGAAAGGAGGGGCTGATGACTTATGAATACTTATGAATCTATTTTCAGGATAGTTTTATGCCGCTTCCTTGATACCCAGTCAGTGGATGACCTTTCACCCTTTTGAAAGATATCTTGATTCTTCAGGGAAACTAAAGGAGCCCCCAACACGAGGCGCTTCCATTTCAGCAGCGTGCCGCAGAAGCTCAAAGACAGCTACAAGGCGCAGGCCACTCCGCCGCCTGCGCGGCGGGCGGTGTCTAGTGGGGCGTTCCTAGTGGCGACGACCGAACGTGAAGGTTTGGCAAAGCTGCAAAACTGGGGCCATCATTGAGATAAGCAGGCCTCAAGAACTTGGAGAATTGAGAATTCCTTGAAATGTGGAATACTGAAAGATCCTAAAGACATATTTCGATAAAAGCAGCCTCCCAGCTAGATTCTTAATATACAAAGCCTTAGATCTCAACGTCACCACCCTCCAACCAGTGCAGCACCTGTGAACCCCAAGAAAGAGTTGGGATACTGTATGTGATCCATTCCTGTACTAGTAGCAGGTAGATGTGCAAAATTTTGTTTGCAGCGGAGGGCTTGCTTCGTCAACCGTTGATGGAGGCTTGGTTTTCAAGGAGGTGAGACCTGTACTTAACCACGCTTTGCTGTCCTTAACCCCGACTAAGTGTTCCAAACCACGCTATACCTTTTCTCTTACTATAAGTCTTTTCACTTGCAGCATCCTGGAGCCGTTTTCTCCTTCCCCGGAGCTGTTCCGTCAGCTGCTCAGACGACTCGCGAGAGGTGGAGGCCGGTGGATTGGAGAAGGACGGGCTCCAAGAACGTGTGGTGGGCTACCTCTCCCAAGCTCTGGAGAAGGCCACGCTCCGCGCTCTCAGTGGCCATTTGAAGGGAAATAGCTCCGGTGGCTCCGGAGGGCTGTTCTGTTGGTTGAAAGGCGCCCATATTATGATTATTATGGGGTTACGTGTGATGCGAGAAGATGGGGTGGTCAATAGCCACTGGCCAGTTGGAATTCATATTTGGTTGACGGGTTTCCTGATTTGCACTTTTGAAGTCGTGCAGCCTGCAGCTTTCCAAGTCGGGGTCTCATTGTAGAATGTGGACTAGACATGACGAGACTGAAACTGCAAGCAAAGGTATTGGAAGATGACAATATGAAGACAATATGAAATATGATGAAGTCAGTATGTGGAGATCTTATGAGATCTTATCAATCTTCTATGTTTCAGGTTTCAGGTGTCGAAAGGTATGTTGGTGTCAATGAGTAGTATAGGAATCACCAACCGCCTCAGGCCTTGCAACGGGAGCAACACCAGCCGAGCAACACCCGTGATGGCTCGGGGCAGGATGCCGGAGCCGTGCAGGTCATGCGGTGGATGGATCAAAGGCAGACAGGTGTCACAGGCCAATGACTCTGAACGGAGTATCACCGCACGCAGTGACTCTGAAGGTGTCCAGCCTGGACGGCAAAAATCCTTGATTGGGAGCCACCTCCAAAGTGGTGATGTGATTGTGAGCAACCTCCCGCACTTGTTGTGGAATTCGATGTCCTATTTTTTTCAGTAGGGCCCCACATGTTTTTCCCTCCATGATTCAGCGAGCCAGAAGCGTGAGGAGCTCGGCTTTGCAGGGCATCCTGGCTGGGTCTTGCCACTGGAGACCATAGGCAGGGGCTGCATGGAGACCGACACAGAAAGCTAGTGGAGTTGAAGCCTGGGTTGAAGCGTAGGGGTCAAGAGAAACATCGAGAAACGACCAAGCCAAGCTATACCAAGCTCGAAAAGAGACAGCCTACAAGATGATTGAAATTGGATCGCATCCCAGATGACCAACAATACCTCATAATCCGTTGCATGCATGCGAACCTGCCCTTGCCAACTTGCCAACCTTTCTTGAACATGCCAAGCATTGCCAAGCTGTTTCAACGAGACTTAACGTCCCAGAAGACGCCGAGGCAGCTCGACCACCACGGACCGAGCCGACGGACCGTCGGCTCCCCGCATCCGAGACCAGGCGGCTCCTCCGGCAGCGGCGCGGCGGAGGAGCACCGGCGCGCCGCGGAGTGGACGGCGAAGTTGGCCGCGGAGAACCGGCGGCGCCTGGCGAAAGGCGTCCGAAGGGAGGGGGTGGCTGATGGTGGCTGGAGGGTGGTTTTTAGGGCCAAAACAAAGGGCCCAGAAATCGGTGGCGATAACGGTGAATCCACAGGCACCAAATTCACGGGCTGCGTTGGCGTGTTTTTTTGTTCTATTGCGAACCATTTTGAAGTGGTTTTCTTGAACAAGTGTTGGGAATCTTACTATAGGAATGGCGAACGGAGGGTGGAAGTTGGGGTTTTTGAGTGGTTCGCACAGAGAGGTTCTTCGTACTACAATGTGGTGGATGATAGAGACATTCGAATCCATTCCAGTTCTCCATTTGGCTCCCAACTACGGTGGCTTCACAATACATAGTTGGGATGGCACCAAACCCAAAACTTGGGGATTGCCCCATCTCCTCTCCACCCACCATATTCAAAGAACAAGAGGCCCAAAGGCATAGAGGATCCAGGCCGAATATCGGACCGGATGAGACCACACGATCCACCCCTTGGGCGGGTCCGTCCTGCGGGCCTTTCCCTGCAACGCCAATGCCTTTGACCAGGCACGCAGGCCAAAGTCTTGCCTGCAGCATCCAGGCTGCAAGTTGGCACTGGAGGGTTTCGAGAGTTAGGGACCTGAAATGCCGAAAGGGCGTCGAAGCACTGAAGCACCGCCGCCCTCTTCTCCGTCGCCGGTATATGTATACCCTATGGGCTATACCCATGCAGTGGTCAGTTAAGGGATCGGACCATCCACCTGAAAGGACCGGGACGGTGTCGTTTTCGGTTCACTCCCGTGATTTTGCAGATTCCTTACAGTGTCTACAAACGATTGTACTCAGGCCACCGGCATCTCCCAAGTGGAGACTCAGCGCACAGCTGAGCCAGCCTCTGAAGCTCAGGAAGCCGGGAAACGTCTTCCTGACGATCGATACACAAACTCCTGCTCTGCTTGAGATGCCCTTGCCTGGATTCTCATCCAATTATAACTATATATATATATATTAACTGCTTTGTTATCCTGGCTCAAATCCCATGTAGTGGATAGTGTATTCGAGTTATTTGATGATTGATTATATTTGATGTTAGGACTATTTGACAAGACCCCTTGTCTTAAGACACGTGAGCTCACATGGCATGGCCACCTTGCTGCTGCGAGGAGGCTCCGCCCAAGCGTGAACCCTTGAAGAGCAGCGTTTACCTACATGGCAGGAGAGCTTAGTTCTGATCAAGTCCAGAAGATTTTAGATATTGATCAGAGAAGATACCACCTCATGGTGGAGCAATTCCTTAAAGACTGCTGGCTTAGATCGCCCGTATGATCGGCCGTCTCTCTCAAGCAGCGGGAATTCCTGCAGGTATCACACTTACGAAAACTAACATGGACCCTGAAAACTGAAAACTGCTAGTTTGGTAGAGGAAAACCATCTTCCACGGGCCAATCCCATGGTACATGTGAGTTTTCGGGAGGCTAAGGGATATCGCTAAGGATTGAGTCCATCCAACAACTCCGGAGCTGGACCGACCACATCTTTGGTGCTGCACCGGCGCTCTGAGGACCCGTGGGCACCGGCAAGACGATGCTGATGAATCTCTTCCACGATCACTCGCAGCAGGCGATTGGGATGGCGATCCGCGGAGGCGATCCGCGGATTGGGAAGCGGATTCTCCATCGGCCGCGACAAACGATCAGTATGGTGGTTGGGGCTCTGTTGGGGTGCGGCCTGGTGGGTGAATTGATGGGAAGGGAAAAATAAGGAAACATCACTGAAGCACACCCAAAAAAAGGTGTAATATGGTACCTGGCATTGACCTCTCTATGCTTTTCAAAAAGTCGTCAATGGAGGGGCCAACACAATACACGGCAGTGGCTTTGGCGGATAGAGAGCCAGTATCACCAGTTGATGTCGGTTGCATATCTGATGCCACGAGCAGGACAGCAGGACTAATAAGTTTATGATTAATGATGAGTCTGATAACTCGGAACTGGTCCACCGAAGCTCTTTGGTCTCAACGTGGGATAGTTAGTCTTCTTTTGATCAGCTCATCTGGAGACCTTTACAAGTGCAAGACGCTGATAGCAGACGTCAGCCAATGGGCTGAGTGATACGGCACACGGACTTGGGAAGAGCTAACCATAATTAAACTTCAGGTGGTGCAGGATTGACCCTATCTATCAAGAATATGGCTTTGTTGAGATGCCTGCCAAGCGCTTCTTTGCTGCAGCTCAACACTTTGGGACCTGCCTTGCTGCAGGCGGGGTTGAGAACATCTCGTCAACACTTCTACGAGTTCATGATCAGATCTGCCCTCAGCACCATACCGCAGATGTTGTTTTTGAACATTGTGGGAACCCCCGGCAAGCTTGGATCCTCTTTGGAGTGCACCCCAGAATGTATCAGCCAGCATGCCAGCATAGAGGTTAAGGGGCATTGTTCATCACCATCCATTCTTCCACTTTTTCACTTGGAGCCCCTCAACTTCGGATTATTTTTGGGGGGGAAGAGATTAGCAGGAGGTGTGAAACCTGGATCCGATCGCCTTTGCCACCGAGGCTTACACCAGCAGATCCAAAAGGATGCGGCTGAACGACCGGTTGAGGCAGACCTTGGGAGAAATCCAGGACAGGCAGACCGAGTGACTTGTTTGGTTTCTTCTTGTTCAGATCTTTTAGAGTTTTGGTTGGAGCAATGGGGCACATGGGGCCAATATGAATTGGCTTCCTTCCTTGTAGTTGTTTGGTCAGGGTGTTTCCTTTGTTTCCTTGATTTTGTTTGTCCACTCTTGTTGCATGATCTATGATAATTATAAACTATATTGGACGGACTTGCTCAGTCACTTAGATACTTTTGGGATGGCCTCTATTGGCCACCGTTTTGCATCGATGCACGCCACGAGGTGGCGGCCAATCGTTGGGCCGACGACCTCGACGTGCTGTGCTTCGACGAGTTTCAAATCACCGACATCCAGGACGGGCACAGCGGTCGAAGCACGGGCGTTTGGGCAGATGCGGGCTGGTATGGCATACGTCATGGGTTGTGAGGATGAAGACAAGGATGGAGGGGAGGTGAAATTGAAAGGAGAGAAAGGGTGCTGAAAGTAAGCTACTGTAAGAGTATGTGAATGAAGGATGTTGGGGTGGTGCTTTCAATGCGTTTGAATCTTCATCTTTGTGAACGCCGTAGGGACTAGCCCTTTTGCATTCTTTAGCCATTTGGTCCTGCACTGAGGGTCTCCTCCCCGCCACAGCTTGGGGCAGGATGCCGTGATCTTGCCACGTCTCTTTGAGGCGCAATGGGACAAGCTGATATGCTTCTACTGTTCTGGTCGGAAGCTTGCGGTGAAATTACCCAGGAAACTTAGTGGAAACCAAAGGGATGGTATGATACCAGTTCAATCCGTTCTCAGTTGTCGTGTAGGGTTTCGGTTTAAGTTTCTGTCAACAGATGCTCTTTGTGACATTGTTGTTCAGAAAAGATGCTTGGGAATTCCAGAGATTGCTTTGTTTGAAATGGAAGTCAGTGTTTGGCACCAGGCAGCCCCAAGTCACCAGGAGGGCCCCATCAGCTCCTCTCACTTGATCTCAGTCCCAATGATTTCGGTGATTCTTCCTTCGGGAGGTCCTCTTCCTTCGTGGAGTCACGGTGGCTGGGACGCCCAGCATTGATTCGCTTTGCTCCTTGGGACTCGATACTCAACTCCTCACAGTCACTCGGTGGAAGTGGTCCAAGTGCGCAGCCCGGAAATATCGATGAAGATCGGTTGGGGGGCCAATGTGCGCTTTTCGGAGCTGTGTGGCACTGGTGATGTTTGGGACGATGTTCGGATGATCAGCCGGCAACACCAGCTTTCACCTCACGCTGTATTTGTCCAGGTCAAGTGTCAACTTGACAGGTAATTAAAGAGATTTAACGCACACGCAGAAGTGGCAGAGGGGTACAGGCAAGATCCACTTCCATCTTCGGGCTTCAAAGCTCCGTGCTACGTACTGAAGCTTTTTGAGGACCTATTCACCTACAACTCAACTGGCCCGAGCACCGCACCACCCGCTGGGCCAGCGCCATGGAAGCTGCGGGCCCTCGGAGGTCTTGTAACCAGGCGATCGTGCAGCGTGCAGAGGAGGAAGCGGTGGACGAGCCGCAGTGGTCAGATGATAGCCTCTTAGATGGCATGGATGGACACATATGGGGCATGCGTACACGTATATATGATATATGGGTATTATATAGTGGGTATGCATTAACTAAGAATAGGAAGACCCCCAAGGACCACTGGGAAGACCAAGAAGTACACTTATGTACCAGGACCCATAGGGAGGTCTCCCTATTTCAATACACACCACTCTCCCTCCACGATCGGAGGCGGACCCAGGAAACAAGGGCTAGTTTTCCAGAGATCCAGCATCCATGCTATTGGAGCGTGAGTGATCTGCACAGAAGTTCGGGACACAGGACCGTTTGGTGAGGGGCTCGTCGGCGGGGGAGGCAGTGGGGTGGGGGTTCTCGCAAATTACATAACTTCACTGATTTGACATATTTAAAAAGAATGCCCCTCGCGAGCCTTTCCAGATGTCCTGTGCCCAAGCTTTTGTCATCCACCCTCTTTCTGAGGTGATGTGTCTGAATCCGAGCTGGCGAATGTGGTCATGGAGATGCAAGAAGTTACGAAGAGCATGCCCTGCCCTGAACGGCCTGGAGCGGTGCCGAAAATTGGGGCGGTGCCGGCACGAGCCATGCCTCGACAACGCGGGACGCAGCTAGAGGAGCTGCATGTGGTGCTGGTGATTGATGCCAGTCTTAGCAACTTGAAATTCGGTCAGGGCCAGGGCCAGGTCAGGGTCTTGTGAAGTCTAAACATGCTCAATCATGCTCACATGATCTCAAATGGCTCATATTCAGATTAATCTGTTTGAGGTGAACGAATTTGTCCTCCAGGAAATGTTGATCCAGACCTATCGAATCACATAGCTTTTTGTTTTAACCTATTGTTGAAGGGCATACCATCAACAAGACTTACTATAACATATTGCATGATTTGGTGCCCGAAGCACTATCATTTGCGGGTCTGCTTCCCGCATGCTGCTCCTCAAGGAAGATCGTGCTCAATACCTGAGAAAGCCCTGAGAATACCTAATAGCAACCATCGCTCATCGCTCATCGGACGGTCCATGGAGTCCAGGGGTGCAGTCCATGTCATTGTTCTGTAAGTTTATTGACCTGGCTAGTGGACAAGGCCCACATACAGCACAACAATGGTCAAACAAAGGTGTGATTAGGTTTGATCCAACTGAGGCATGGGAATTGAAGATGCAGAACTTCTGATGGCTCGCAAAGGTTCTGATGTGCAGCTGCCGACCGCAGTGCGCAGGATTGATGCAGTCTTCCACTCCTGCGAATGTTTCTTCGAAGCTTGCCAAGCTGCTAGTGGCGCAGACGACCGCTTCAGCTTGGTGGGGCAATTTGAAACGCACGATCAAAGTCAGTGCAGATTTGCAAGAGGGAGTCTTGATGTTTCGTTTTGAGTACAGTAACTCGTTAGTTGTTTTGACCCTGCAGGTTGTCTTCAATAGTCAATCTCAAATCATTTTTGAGAGACTGTTGAAGAAGGCTGCAGCATCAGCGATCAAGAAGATCGGCAAAAAGGTGAACCCTAAGAGTGAGAACCTTTCACACATTTCAGAACTGCACAGTTACTTTTGCTTTATTTTTGGTGTGATTCTTGAGTTCGTGTCCCCGCCCCACCCGGTAAGTTCCTCCATTGAAGCACCGATGGTGACCAGTGTTTGCCACAAGGACCGAATTTCAAACAGCTTTTCAAGCTGTGTGCAGACTTCTTGGCAGCAGTGCAATGTCCGAGGATGTAAGGGTGGTTTTCCTCTCAGATGGGAAGCCTTTTGAGAAGCACAGTGTCCCAACACTCTTCGAGAAGCAGCTTTTGCAGAAACAACATGCTCGAAGTTTTGAACTTCATGCCGTCGCCTTTGGCTCTCAATCTGATCACTGGCATCATTTGCAGTGGTTGGCCGGAGTCACAGGAGGGACTTTTCAAACGTCATCTTTGGACCAGCTGCAGCTGAGGGAGGCCTTTACTTCCATTGCTGCTACCATCACCGCAACAGACACATCCAGCGAGAAATCTACCACCAGTGGCGTTCCATTGAGAGCAGCTGCCTTGGAAATGCCCTTTGATCCATTGTATCATGATGTCAAATGCAAGCGAACATGTAAGTTGATCCAGCATTTACACAAGAGGAAATCTCGGTGGAAGTACGTGGATGAAGAGGTTGTGCTCGATCAGGAAGTGGCAGTGACAATCCAGGCGAAACCCTTCAGCTACGGAGGAATGCGCCTGGTTTTCGATATGTGGGATGCATCAGAGAAAAACAGGCGTCATCCAATGGTGGCTAAGCGCTTGATTCTGAAGCCACATGCAGACAAGGAAGAGATGCTTCATTTCTGTCGCTGCACAAGTATCGCAATTGGGCTCCGGGAAAGCTTCCTGAAAGCTTTGGCTAGGGTTGGTGCGCCGATCAAGATTTGGTTTGTTCCCTGCTATTTGTATGAGTATACGTTCGGAGCTGGAACCTTCTATTTTGTGGGCGAGCAAAAGCTAGAAGGACATTTCGTGAAGTTCAACGGGAACAACGGATACGTGAACGAAGACACCAAATTGGAGGTCGAGAGTGAAATTCTACAAGCCTTAAGCCACTACAGCTATGTCAAAAGCAAGGGTGCCATTTTGGCGGTCGACCTCCAGGGTATCATCGACAATGGCAATCTTCTCCTGACAGATCCGCAGCTTCATTCCAGAAGCAAGAAGCTCCTTGCCACACAGAATGTTAACATGTGCATTTTTTTCGACAAGACCGCAGGCATAGAGGTTGTTCTTCCGATGTTCTTGGTACAGGAATCTCCGATTTGACAGCCTTGTCACTAGTAAAAGAACGGGAAATACAAGTCTTTGAGTATGAAAATTGAACTCTTTGAATTCTTGGCTTCGCTTTCTTGAGGTATGGCAGAGGAGATCTTGGCTTGGAAGGCTTCAAGCTCTTCTTTGAGAGCCATAGATGTGGGCCAACCTGTGAGAAGCTAAAGCTCAGCGGACAACAGTCTGATCTCTTGCGGGAGCTCCAGCTTGAAAGGGATCGACGATGCCAGGCCCTGGTTGAATGCACAAGGGAAGCGACTGATAAAGCAAACTAGAATCAGAATGTGGCTGACATTTTTGCCAGCATCCCAGAGGTACATGATCCTCTCGTTGTCAGACAAACTAATTGGGTCAGTAAAGTCACTCAAGGCGAATTTTAGCCAGTTCAAGAACATGACACTGTAAGGATGAAATCATACCCTTAGCGCATGAGGGATGCACTACTAGACTACTAGCATTTAGCTGGTGAATGCTCAGGGCGCTTTGCTCTCAGTGTTTTGGCTATTGCCACTCTAACTGGCTATCCCGCCCTGGGAGGTTTGCATGAGCGCAGCTGCCAAAACTGCCCCTTGTCCAACCTCATGAGAAGTCAAGAAGAGCAGTTGGGCTCTTTGAAGGTGTCCCACAAGAATGCCCCCTTCAAAGGTGCAGTTCTCGAGAGGGAGGCGTTTGCTCAGCACTCACCGAAGCGTGGGTCATGCACCCGGCTGTGGGGAGACTGGCACCAGAAAACCGACTGGTTGACCTACCTGAAGGTTTTTCGCTACATGGGCTCCAGATTCTGATGCATCCCCACATAACCAAAAAGGGACAGCCAATGCTGAATCAAGGCATCTTCTTCGGTACGTGTTTTCTCCACTCCCAAACTCCACTGGCCCAACCTGTTTTGTTTCGATGGCTCTGTGAGCAAGTAGGGTATAGCCGGTATAGCTGACAGGTTTGACTTGAAGATCGGGATTGCCCCAACAACCAGTCGTGGGAAAACCTGGCCAAGGTGCTGGGCCACAGGATGACGCTCACTCCCTATTGAGTGTTGCAGTTTTCAGAGTGTGAGAGCGCAATGAACGGACCACGGATGTTTGTGCTCTTCAAGCGGTATCCTGGTGTCCTCACCCATTTGCTGAGAGCTTACCAACGTAATATCAATTTAATGTTATGCAGTCTTTGGTTGACCACTGCCAAAGATTGAATTGATAAATGGTTGGGGATGGACTTGGGGCCTCACTAAATTTAGCTGGTTGTGTGTTCAGTACTTTCCAGAGTTCTTCTCTTCTATGAGCTGTAGTGTCCTTCACCCTGAGGTCTTGGTGCCATGTGGGCATTCGGCCATTTGCCGAAGCTGCGCTGTGAAACTCATGGAATCCAACAGTGGGTTATGCCCCCTGTGCCGGAAGACCTTCACAGGTTGGCGTGAAGGTGTTTACAGCAGCTTGGACTTCTTCAGATTCTCAAACATGGCTTCATGCAGGCTCACCGGCCCTGCTTCGGACTTCGGGTATGTATGATTCTGGACGGGAACAGGTGAGCCCCCGATGGGACAAAGAGGCAAGAACATTGACTTTCTCGAGTTCATTCTCAGTTTGTATGGAGGAGCAATTAACATCATCCCGCAAGTGCTTGTATCTCAATGCACCAGGACTTCCTGAGACCTGCGCAAGAGGAAATACATGCTTTCACCATCTTTCACCTTCCACCTCTACCTCTATCGCCTCGGGGGAAATTGCACGAGACAAGCGTTCTTGATGGTAGAGTTCATAGCATGTCCACTGCTTATGGCTGCCTGCCACATGTTCTTCCTCTTGTCTGCCAAGGTAGCACCTTTGTGGCGCCGGAACGGGTGAGGCGTTAATTGCCCGAGATTTGGGTGTGTCACGACGTGCCTCGAAGCAAACATGCCCAGTTTTGAGAGAAACATTTGGATTCCAGAGATGGTCAATCGACCGTGACTGTCTTTTGAACAGCTGCCTTCTTTGGGATCGACGCTGGAGAAGCTTGTGGGGTCGCAAGACTCCTCCAGCTGCATTCCTGCAAGCTGACATGCCTTTGGAAGTGCCTTTGGAGCACTACAGCAGATATTGGCAGGTTATGTCAGAAGTCATTGTCAATTCAGTGTAAGGACAGACAAGTGGTTTCCCGTTCTGTTGTAGACTGTGCCAGACTTTGCCCATCAACCGATAGGGTCTGGAGGAATTGGTCCTCACAACCTTCTAAGATGTTGCACAAATTTGAGCTTTGCAGAATCACTGGGATTTTCTGAATTGTCACTTGGGCGAATGATCTTCACCGGTTGTGTTCAGCACAATATAGAAAGATCATGAAAGAAAGGTAGTCGATGTTGTCCAATGTTTGCGTCAGCTGACGGGAATGTATCTTCCAGATCCAACACATTATGAGACCATGTACAGCATTGTTTGAGAGATCCATTGCGCGAGGTCCACCTGAGACCAACAAATCTATGGAACGGCCGTGGGTTTGGCTCATCAGCGCCACTCAAATCCAAAGAATCCACTTGTTTTGCTCAGAATGTGCTGTCAATATTGGACACCTATGATTGAATATGATTGCTAAGCCATACGAAGATCCACACGCTGCGTCTTTTCAGTACTGCAGCTCTCATTTGCGTGTCAAGGCAGTGAGACTGCTCAACGCTGAGAAGAAGTTTGGCAAAAGAACCGATCTTCTTGCATCTGGCTGTGGGTCAACCCCCCGGAATTTTAATCCTGGGTAGGTTGAACATCTTGGTAGACCATTCAGTTCATGTTCAATGGTCAACCCTGTCTTCCTCCTGTTTTGACCCACTGCCAATTGGCAAAATAAAGTTCTCACTTTGCCAGGGCCCATTCACTTTGCTATTCAAACACAGTCTTCGCACTGTCCAGGCGGTCCAGGTGTTCTGAGCCACTTCTAGATTACACCACCACTGGTGTTGCACCAGTCCATCTGCACCGGCTACACGTTGCACCGTTGGGAGTGGCCTCCTGGGTCAATCTGCGCGTGCCAAAGGGAGTGGCTGCCTGGGGTCATCTTGGGGTCACGGTGATCTCTGTGAAGATCGCTCCAAACGCGAGGTGATGACCTCCAACACGGCGCCGCAGCTGCTCTATACCGGTGCCTCGGTCGAGAGGGCGGAGACGGGGTCCTTGAGGACGCGACCGCAAGATGGCAAGATGGACAACTTGGTGGTTTCAAATATATCTCCATGTTCAAACTTTACTTGGGATGATGGAGTTGTTTGAAATTCAACGCAATATTGAAATGCAATGTTTGAAATGCAATATTTACTTGGTTGAATAGCAATAGTTGAACGCAATGGGCAAAGACTAACTTATGTTTCGTTCCTGAGGTGGTCAACCACCCGCCAGTGGTCAACCACCCGAGTGGACCAGTGGGTGTGTTGGAACTCCAGAACTCCAGAACTCCCACGACATCCGGATGGATTTCTGTTCGACAGTATGACGCCCGGATTGACTTACCGGGGGGCGTAGCGATGATCCAACGACATGGAGGCCTGAGATGGCCTAAATGAGGGTTTTTGTTGGTGGTTCGGTGGTGGGATGCTTTTCCATGTTTTTCCCTTTCAGTTAGTAGTCTGGGGGCCACCTTAGACACGGACGGAACAGTAGGCCATGGTGCTCCAAACTCCGAGAGTGCCTGAAACCCTTGCCCTTCAAACACCACTAACAAAAATGGTTGACCTAGTTTTAAGTAAAATAAAAGCAGCATGATTAATTTAACAAAATGGTGGTTCGAATCCTAGGGTAGAGAATCTTAAACAGAAGGCAACACTCCTGGCTATCCAGGCGGTTCTTGGGCAGTCCCCTAATTTATGACGCACGCCTTATGAAGTCCCCAGAAGCTGGTAGAGCGATAAAGTGCTAAACTCTTGCAGAAGTGAACTGGGACCTGGTTGACATGTTTCCCTTGAGTGTGATTTTGCTTCACATATCATTTTTCCAGACACTCTTTAGTCAAAGTTTGGGCCTTCTGAATGAGTACTCTAAGTCTTGCCACACAAGAGTAGGCGTGCATCGAATTCCCTCCCAACATCGACCAAGACCGTACACGAGGGTGTCTGCCCTGCCACGTTTCTATGACCAGGTGGCCTTAACCGCCATGTGCATCTTCCAGCCTTTGTGCGCCTCGTGGCCGGGTCACTCATTTTCGCATCATCAAGACGGTGAAGAGCGCTGTGGAGAGGGGATAGTCTACGCACACCATCACAGACCACTTGGTTTGATAACAATGGTCGATTTTTTGGATGCTTGATGATATGGTTCGATTGCGTGATTTGTTGGACATTGGGGAGGTTTTTGCAACGGCTTAGTGGTATTTGAGATGGTTTGAGATGGTTTGAACCATCTCCACGGCACTTTCCTATGAGTACCGTGGATCAGTTGGATCGGTTGGTTGGATGAGTATTGTATCTCAACACCAGTTGGTTCCAACTGATCCAACCAATCAGTTGGATCAGTTGTGGACTAGTTGGTTGGATCAGTTGGTGTATCACTTCAGCTGGTGTCGCGGCCATCCACACTGACCCTCCAGTCGGCCGCCCCAGGCCGAGCACTCGACCGTGCTGGGACTCGGCGCCAAGTCGGTGCGGGAGCCGTGTCGGGTGGCGTGGGTGGGGGGTCGGTCCAGGGTGGCAAGGGACCGTGCCTGCACCATGCCCGATGGGCCAAGAAGACCACTGTGTGGTTGTGGTGGTGGTGGTCATGGTCCACACCATAGCCATCCATAGCCACCATAGCCATCCATACCGGACCCAAGAAACAGACCATTTTGTGATGTTGTTTGTTCTTCCGCCCATGCACATCCACCTTTTGCCAGTCTATGTCAAAAGCAGGCCTTTGTCAGAATGGGTTGTGGATAAGAAGCTGGCTATGAAGCCATGATCCCTCACTGGACCCCGAGCAGATGACATCCGAGTTCCCATCCCAAACCTATAAGTTCCATATACAACTCATCGACTTTGCTTCGTGTTCGTTGCACCACCACCCCCGCAACCCAAGTGACCCGACATGGATCCCACCAGACCCGATCGGCGGTTCGGTCCTGCCGCCACGGGACGGAACCTTCACGAGCCCTTCCCTTATTGTTTGTATGGGAAAAGGGACATGTCCACCATGCCCAGTGGAACATCATGGATGTGTTGTTTTTCTTATTTTCAAGCAGATGGTTAGCCACCAACAGGGTCCAGCTGAGTTTGGTCGCACTGGAATCAGACACGGTGTCGTTCAGAAGTCCGACGAAAGTGCCTTTGTGAAGTATATCATGTTGATCTCTTGTTAAGACAACACATATTCTACTAAGATACCAACATGTCGGGAGTTCTTAAAGTGCCTTTGTGAATCACATATACATCATGTCGCTTGTTTTCACTTGTGGGTCACCTCAAAAGGGTGGCAAGAAGCGCAAGAAGACCACCGAGCTCGGGTGATCCGTCAGACGCCCCTCCAGGTGGACTACCGCCGCCGAGCCGAGGCGGCCAAAGCAACGTTCGGCGTTGGAAGGAGTGAGTCCCAAATAGAAACAACAGTGAATATATACAAGTATATGCATGCATTCTGAATTTCCTCTAATTCTTTGAAGCTATTTGTTTATATTTATGTCATCCGATTGATTTGGGGACTTCTATATCCACATTGCAGCTATTGCACATGTGCCGGCCTATTGGCAGAGGCAATTCAACTGAATCGAAGACATGGGAAAAAAAGCAAGCATCCAAAAGAAGTTAAACAACTTAAATATCTAAACAAGCATGTTAAAGGCGATGGTGTCATTTTGGATGAAGGAGGATCTATTTGTTTGGCTCATTTTTGGATCTCCTGGTACTTCTGTATGAGGCCAACATGGAGTCGGACTTCGGCCACTCGGCAGAAGGGATGCGGACAACATCGGCACTGCAACAACAGGAGGTTGGGTTCTAGATGTCTGGAGAAAGAAAGACAAGGTTCAATTTGCTTCAATGTTTATTGTTTCTTGACATCCATTCATTTTTGGGATGAATCAGGACTTGAACGAAAAAAAGCGTTGGGGCAGGTCACCAGGATGTTTCTCTTCAAGGTTGAGACTAGAACCCCTTTGCCAAGCTTAGATGACCAGCTTTCTTGCGCTTTGGAAGCGTGGAAGATGGTTGATGTTTGCGGAAGAAGTCGCCATGTTTGTTTGGATCACTATAGGTGATTATGGCAAAGATATGGATGGTCATAGGAACAATACCTCTTGCCATGCACAGATTCCTTGTCACATGCAGCAGCTTCCTTGGTTGCAGAACATTCGAGCACCATGCAGCACGAACTCGTGGGGGCATGGTACAGGAGATGCGCAAGCGATGTGGCTCAACAGATTGCCCTGAAGTTTCATGAGCACTCTGGCTCAGGACGTGTCCAAAATGAAAGTCATAGATCAGATCAGATCCATACACTTTGTCATTGGTTAGTGAGTTAGAGAGAGGATGAACAGATTCTGATTCATGCGTGTACATGCATGAATCATGAATCATGCATGGTACGGTACTGCAAGAGATTGAACGACTTCACGATGCTTACTGCTGATGACCTACCTAGATGACTAGATACAAGTAATTAGACGTGTGTGTATAATATACAATATGCACATGTTGGATCTGTCGTTACAAAGATTCTTGGAGTCTATCCTTGAATCTTGCCATGCAGGTGTGCTTCTTAACTTCAGGTGAGACCGTCACAGTGTTGGAGCCTTCCGATTTTGACGGCAAATCGGCGCGCGTTCTGAAGCGACACTTGGCTGCTCCGCTCGGTATCTCCAGGTTTCGACAAAGACTCTTTGCGGAGGATGGTGTTGAGATCCCAGATGCTGATCTGTTTACCTCGGATCCAGTGAAGGTCGGGCTGGTGATTTTGGGGTATTGCTTGCCTGATGCTGAACAGAGTCAAGAGTTGATCAATGCATCCAGAGAAAACGATTCGGCGGCGCTCGAGAAGCTGCTTCAACGTCCTTTGCATCCCAAAACCGAAGATGAACGTGGCAAGACACCATTGCACTGGGCTGCATGCAATGGGCACCTTGAATCGATGCTGCT